TACCTCTTACCTTTCAAGTAAGATTATGCATTTACTATGCTTCGTATCAGATGTGTGGCCAGAGTTAGGGATGTTAGGAGAAATTACTTACTAATAACAATGTATGCAACTAACATTTTAAATTAAAACAATCTTATTTACACCACCTGATCTGATTTGAACATGTTTATTGTAAACATTGAACGTGGATAGCACTGATTTTATTGCAGACATCAAATGCATCCACTAAAATGTTACCATATTTGGCTTTAGGAAATATGTAACTTGCCATTGTGGATTTTGTTCATGCAGACAAAATTCAGTGTTTAGTAAATACCACTGATACTTAAAGTGACATTATAGTCACCAAAACAACTTTGGCTAGATAAAGCAGTTTTTGAGTATAGATCATGAATCTAAAGTATCACTGCTTAATTCTCTGTCATTCGGGAGTTAAATTACTTTTATTGCTGTCCATGCAGCCCTAGGCACCTCTCAAGTTTTATTTTCAATCAGATGTTAACTTACTTTAGAAGATTTAATCTCCTGCTCTGTAAATTGAACTTTAAACTCCCAGGAGATTTCTGCAAGGTCTAGCAAGCTATTAACAGTGCTGGAGATATGACATTCTAAATTAAACAGATTGTGTAATAAAGGAAGTGTAAACATTAGATCTCTTTAGAGGAAGTGTTTAGGAACACTGTGCAAGTCACTTGCAGGGAGGTGTTACTAGGGCTGCATAAACAACATGATTTAACTCTTAAATGTTATAGAATTGAACATTGAGACTGCATGGGCAAGATATATACACCGACATTGCTTCATTAAACTATAGTAGTTTTGATGACTATAGTGCCCTTCACACTTTGACCAGAAGGAGTAAAATCTTTTCAGGAATGAGGTCAGGATAAAAAAAATTAATTCCTCATAACTTATATTTTGCAACAATATTAGCACAGGAACACAATGGCAAATTTATATTTGTGTTGTAAATTGTGTTAACTCTATGTGAGATCATTTCAGTCCGGTGCAATAGTGAATTAACTAATTTTGTTAATGATTTATTAATGACCTAGCATTATTGTGTTTTATTTATAGATTTACATTTTATCCTCATACGGTTGAACTGAGCTACCAGAATTCTTTAATTCACACCAGAGAAGAGTTAGGCGTGGTGGTGATTGGACCAATGTCTTTAAATATTCTGATGCTTCTACTAATTCTTCTAAGATGGATATGTCAAACACTGTTTGACTCATTCCCAACTATTCTGTCAAAATCTATTATTGCTTTAGGCCTTTGGACAGTTTTGAATCCTTTAGCAATATTTATTGTGGATGCACTACTGGGGGTAAGTAACTAAACGTAGCTCGGCCCTACTACTGGTTATTTTCAAATTGACAAACTTTTTTCTTATTAGTACAACACAAAGGTTCCATCATTATAATTTATTTTATCTGCTACATGTTCATCATTTTACTTTATATTGTGTTTTATAAAAATGAAAACAACCTTTCCTACAAAGACTCCCAGAGCAGCCTCATTTTCTTACACAAATACTTCCAGCACATTCTGAATTCCTTGCATAATGGTGAATCCATTTAATCTAAGGTACTTTTTTGAGATTTTGACTCAGTACCATAATGTTGATCCTGCAGATGTTTTAGACTCACATTTATGGTTTTGGTTTCCACATGATTTGACACATGGGAATTATGTAGGCAGCAGATATAAACAAAAACGGTGCTGTCCTGTTTGCAGAACGAATTTAAGATGATGTATGAAAGTGTTTGTGGTATGGCAGAAACAAGCAACAATTCTTAGGTACAGTCTGGCACTGAAATTTACCTGCAAATGTAACACTTTTAGATAAATTGCAGATCAAGCGGACCAGTGGGCTTGCAATCTAAAGGAGAAAACAACATGTGAGAAAAAAGGTAGCAGGGAAATATCTGTAAAATGTTAAAGGCAGGAGACAACCACAATGTTCTAGCCCATTGGGGCTTTCTACAGCAATGTGTTGAAGATGTCAGTGATAGCCTGCCAGTGAGACCTCTTGGTGGTAGTTCTATAGAGGTAACTGTTGCAAACTGCCCTGGCTTGCTTGTGGTAAGAATTCTATGTGTTGGCTAATGGGTATCCTAATAGAAATATAACATTACATGGATATAATTGCATTCATATGTTAATAGCAAAATTCCATGCTGTCTGGGAATATTAGCTATAACAAAAACAAACACTAAAGTGCAAATACCTACTGCTGCCTTAGCTCATCCTGTTCTTAATTATGGGCATCCAATATCCAGCTACAGTATATACAATGTAACAGAACAACTAATAAAAAAAACACTTCAGTCACCAAGATCACAAGAAAACATTTGTATGGCATACATTGTCCAGATGTCCAACATTCTTCCTTCTATTTCACAAGAATAGAAGATGCTAATACTGCTTCTGCAAGGAATATTGCTGACAACATTAGTACTCTATAAAAGAGACATGAGGATGTCTTAAGAACCAGGGGTGTACCACCAAGGGTAAAACTATTTGAAATGACATAACAAGTGCATCACAGTTTGCTGTGTATGTGGCTGCGCAGTCGCAGTTCAGTCAGAGTGCTCATGAATGCTCCAGTCCACCACTGAATGGATACATGAGCATCAGAACTGGATATTGGAGCAATGGAAGAAGGTTGATTGGTCTGGTGAAAAATGTTTTTTTTTAGATCAGGTAGATGGCCACGTGCGTATACCGCGGGAAGAGATGGCACCAGGCTGCCTTAAAGAAAGAAGTCAGACTGCCAGAGGGAGTGTTACGCTCTGGGCAATGTTGGAAAACCTTTGGTCCTCAAATTTATGTGGATGTTACTTCGACAAGTACCACCTATCCAGAGAGTGTTCCAGAGAGTGTTGCAGATCATGTACACCCATACATGGTGATGATGTTCCCTTATAGCAGTGGCCTCTTTCAGCAGGATAATGCACCCTGTCACAACATGTTTTTTTTAGGAATAGTTTGAAGAACATGACAAATAGTTCAAGGTGTTGCCTTGGCCTCCAAGTTCCCCAGATTTTAATCTGATTGAGCACCTGTCGGATGTGCTGGAAAAACAAATCCGATTCATGGAGGCCCTACCTCTCAACTTGCAGAAATTAAAGGATCTGCTGCTAATGTCTTGGTGCCACATACCTCAGGACATATACAGAGGTCTTGTTGTGTCAATGCCTCAATGCATCACAGCTGTTTTAGCAGCATGATGGGGACCTACACGATATTATGTCACGATTCCGGAACCTAACACGCTAACAGGACACAGAGAGGAAAGATGCTGTGACGAAATGCCTTTTGCCCCTGGATTGTTAGGTGACAAGCTGCCCTTTGCCCCCGGCTTTTGGAGGAGCCTGATTGCCAGCCTCCTTCCTCATGACTATGGCCCTGGGGTGTAGTGCCATTTAAAAAGACTATTTGGGGCTTATTGGCTTCTAAAGACAGTTTCTTCCCATTTGAATCCATGGGAAGGTGTGTTTCTTCCCCTCCCCCGTTTCCTGTCTATTGTTCTCCAGCAGGGCGTTGTCCCAGGCACACTGCCAAACCAGTTGGAACTGACTGCTTTTGTCCCTCCTTGGTTTCTCAATAGCCCTTGCTATGCTTTACCCCGTGGAAAATCTACTCTGTTCATGGGATCTGAGCGCTGTTCACCTAGATTGGGCGCTCAGATCCGAGCTATCTGGGGATAGGTTAAATGTGGGGGTTCTGTGTAATAAAATAAGAATTATGTATTTTTATGTACTTTTACGTATTTTGCTGTTAGTGTTAAATGTAGATATTTTCTGTACCTGGAGATAATTGAGTTTACTGCAGTGCCTTAAGCCAATTATCTCCAGGATGGAGAGGAGGGATTTCATTGTGTATGTGAGAGTGTTATCATGTTAATTAGTGTTCCCATTGGTTTGTGTCCCTTTTGTCACAGTTTACCACCAGGTCCAGGGGGTGTGCCTCTGACCTGAAAACTTGTATATAAGGAGTAATAAACGCTCATTGGAGTCAGATCATCTTGTACCTTCATGAAGTTTCGGCTCATGTTTGGGGGATTGGAGAAACTACACTCTGGGGATTGCTATAATCACTATACTCCCCAGGGTATAATCACTAAGCTCTGCTAAGAGCTTGTTCCTGTTCCTGCTCTCTGGAATTCGGAGAGAGGTCGACCTGCTGGAAGCTGGACCCTGGTCCTGGGTCCAGAGTGGGTGGAGACGGCGAGACCCCAACCAAGCTGCGGCGGTTCGTGGGGTCTGCAGTGGTTATGGTGTCAGGCAGAGTGCTTGGAGTCCTCGGAAAGCACTAGGAGCATCCGTCGGCGGAAGGTAACCGGTCGAGGTGCCAGCAGTTCCGTTACAGATGCTATACCGGTCCTTAGAGTGGCCGGGCTAAGCACGCTAAGAATGGTCAGGAGACAAGCCAAGTAAAGGGAGCCAGAAAACGGGAGAACAAGAAACAAGCCGAAGTCAAAGGAGTGGAGAAGACAGGATAATCGGAATAACGAGCCAAATAATCGGAAACCAGAGAGCAACATGAGAGAACAGCACTACAGGTATCACAAGACCACAACAGGGCACTGAGGGTCAGGAAAGGTAAGTATAAATACCCTTGGTTTAATTCTGATTGGATAACTTCCAATCAGAATTAACAATCACACGTGGGGGATATCTATACCTCCCACTGTGATTGTGGTACTGTTCCTTTAACGCCGGGTCACTCATGTGACCCCGGCGTTTGCATAATTCAGTGACCTCCCAACGTGCAGCGTTATACATGCTGCCGCTGGGGGGCGTGGAGGACGCGAGCGGCAGAGAGGAGACGCCGCTCGCCGACAGGATCCCTGACATATTAGGCAGGGGGTTTTAATGTTGTGGCTGATCAGTATATGTGTCAAATAAGAAATTGTGTCAAAAACATTTTATTGACTTTTTTGTTTGTTTGTTATTAACCATGCATTTTTGTTATATTTTTCTCTATTTTAGAGGCTTTGCTACAGTGCTGAGAACCCTATTGCAGATGCATCAAAGCTTTACTGGATGTTTTTCAGAACTGAGCAATCGGGACTCTGGGGGATATTTATCACATTGTTGGTCTACATAATGATATTCATAATTTCCTTTTCTGTGCTTTATCTTTATTTTCTCAGGTATTTATTATTTGGGAGAGGGTATTGTTCAGATCTATGCCATCATAGGTTGATTTTAGATTCTTATGTACACCACAAATGCACAATGATTTATACTATGACAATAGATGTTCGTAAGGGTATAGACTGGGTTATACAATAGGTATTAATATAATAAGGGGCATAACACGATCCTGTGGGTCTATATTAATCAAAAATGTATTAGAACCCACACTGCTGTTGATAATCTCTCTTCCCTTTGTATAAATGGGATATCTCTGCATCACCATTTTAATGTCCCAAACCCGCTAATCTTTTATTAGCCCCCATCACCCATGGGTGGGTGGATCTTAGCAAGTTCCCTTCATGGTTTTTTTTTGTAGAGCTCCCACCCTGCTGGCCATGGGTGGGGATATGGGGAGACCTGTACCAGGTGTACCGGTTGTGTTTACAGACCCATAGTACTTTATAGACCCTATCCCCATGTGATATGGCCTTTCCTACTAACTGGGCAGCAACAGTCGCCTAGTTCCTCATTTTTAATTACAATGAACAGTCACTGGCTGCGTGGAGGTAAGCATACCTCCACCCTCAACACAACAGGTTGGGGAATAAGGGCGGTTTTACACCACCCTTATATTAATATGGGGGTCATATTGACCCCCATTGGCTTTTTAATGTTTTTTAAACATTTTAATGTTGCTGCTGGGAGGTATAAAACTACAAATCACAAAACAAACAAAATAGCTTTCCATTGCCCATTTCTATTATCTTGTGATATATCCATATGGCATTTCAGAGTTCAGATGATTCACTGGTCACCCAAAATTGTAAATCAAATGCACAAGTTTACCACACACTTTTTTTTCTCTAAGCTACATTTAAACCCTCTCAAACTGTAAAACTCCCAGTATCTAAAATACTTGTTCTGGAAAAAGTTTTGTTTGCTTTTGCCAAACTGGCATATTGCTTTCCTTTCTCTTAACTTGTACCCTTCTTATCTCATTTGAAATGTGTAATGTGGGACTTTTCAGATAATTCATTTAATATGAGCTATGTCAATTCCATTTCAATTTTTTATTTAAAGGGACACTATAGTCACCAGAACAACTACAGCTTATTGAATTTGTTCTGGTGAGTAGAATCGTTACCTTCAGGCTTTTTGCTGTAAACACTGTCTTTTCAGAGAAAAAGCAGTGTTTACATTACAGCCTAGTGATAACTTCACAGGCCACTCCTTAGATGGCTGTTAGAGATCCTTCCTAGGTCATGGCTGCCTAAAATGCAACCACACATTCAGTGTCTCCTCCCTCTGCATGCAGACACTGAACTTTCCTCATAGAGATTAATTGATTCAATTCATCTCTATGGGGAGATGCTGATTGGCCAGGGCTGTGTTTGAATCATGCTGGCTCTGCCCCTGATCTGCCTCTTTGTCAGTCTCAGCCAATCCTATGGGAAAGCATTGTGATTTGATCAGGCTACCACTTCTGATGATGTCAGCACACAGCTTGTTTTTCTGAGGCAAACAGCATGCAGAGTTACAGCTTCAGTCTTGAATACAGTAAGATTTTGCTATATTTATGGAGTTATGAGGGAACCAGGGGGCTAGAAGGTGGTTTTAACACTATAGGGTCAGGAATACATGATTGTGTTCCTGACCCTATAGTGATCATTTAATGTCTTTAACCGCTAAAGGGTATTTTTTCACACCTGTGGCAGGACTGTATTTTTTCTTGTTGTATTTAAATTTTCATTGGGTTTCCTTCTCTCCTTATTTAATGATCACATAATTCAAGATGGTACTATTTTGACATATTCTTATTTATCATTTACAATCAAAGATTGTAGAAGATTTTTTTCTTTTTCTAAAAAGTATGGTTATAGTTGATTCCTTAACCTTTTTTGCTATGTTTTTGCAATGGAGTGTACCACAGCACAGAATGGGCTGAACGTACACCATAACAGTATTCAAGTAGAATACTCAACTTTGTTTGTCAAGATAAATGTATAATACATTTATAAACAAATTTGTATATGGAATCTGTCTACAGCATAAATGTGAACTTTACAAAAATCCACTTTTTGATATTTCTATGTGGACCTAAAACATAAAATGGTGGGCACAAAATGGTGGTTAATACTATAGAAGGGTAATGTGGAAAGCAGATATCAAACACGTGCTTGGTGGGGAAAGAGGTGAAGAAATTTGTCTATAATATATAGTCGCCAACATTTACTAGCTGTTGGTATTGATGCTTAAAGGATCACTTCATACCCCTAAAGCACTTCAGCTTGGTGGAGCGCTCTATGAGTGAAGAGTGTGTCCTCTTTTCTCATTTTTATAAACAAATCTTGTAAGACCCCCTTGCTGTCAATCAGACACTGGTCCTGTTACTTCTTGGTTGTTTAGCTTAGTGGAGCTAAACTCAAGAGGCAGCAATAGCTCAGAACAGTTATTGCAGTTGGTGATTGGACAGCAACAGAAAGCCTGTGCTTGGAAAGAAGGGAAGGGCTTGCAAAGCCTTCAGAGAAGAGATCTGGAGCTTTTGCAAGCTGCTTTTAAATATACCCGTAAGAAAAAAATGCATAATTAACGGCATGCATGTTTTCCTTGAGGGTACATTTACTAAACTGTGATATTTTATTATTTTTATAATTTTATAATATGTAGAGTGTCCCTTTAGTGGCTGTTTTTTTTTAATGATAAGCATGGAAACAAGCCCTAAGTATACATACCTTGCTAACAATGAAGTGGTTAACCAGAGGAGCAGCTGATATATACTGCAGATATTTCTATTATCTAATTCAGTGGAAACCTGAAAGGATTAAAGACTTAGCTGAACTCTAGTATAACCCTGCTGGGTGTACAACACATGAGCCTGACATTTCACTTATACTTTTATAGTTCTTCTGGAACTGATACTTTGAAAATAAAATGCAGCAGTTACAAAATTGGAGTGTTTCACAAATATGTTCCTCACTAGTACTGAAAATAATCATGGCTGGCTCAATCACATTTTAGTTTATATTAAATAAAAATAGATGGCATATGTGACGTATAAATGTATATGAATTACAGATTGCATAAAGAAAGCTGGGTATTAGACATGTTCCAACGCATTAGCTGTCATGAAGAATTATTTAATATTCCATATGATCTGGAAATATCAAATCAAGAACTGAGTCATATCGTGCGAAAGTCTGAACAGTGGAGAGGAATCAATGGAGAGCGAAGAAAGGTACACTGGAACAAAAAATGAGAACTGTATCTGTACTCTGTGTTTTATTGTTATCTAATTTAATATGTAATTTATATTTCACATGGATTTTTATAACTTTTATATATTTTTTCATGTTTTTATTAGAGATTTAAAAAAAAAAAAAAAGTCAGTGATATAAACAGTGCCAAAAAATGTGTAGTCTGTCAGAAAGACATATGTTTTGCTCAGTCAGCATGAGATAATATATATCTACACATTATTGGCACTGTTTATATCACTGACTGTTATAAGCAATGTATACATTTTGTGTGTTCATTTATGACAATACAAAAGAGAAATAGTAAGTGAAAAAAATATTGTTTTACAAGTATCAATGGTGGGTTAGTCTTCTGAACAGTTCAATCAGAGCAAGCAATCAATATTAGCAACTGACTGCCATTTAAAAATCAGGAAATAGAAAAAAAAAAAAAACAAGTGTCCCTCGTGTCTCAGTGTCCCCATGTCTTCAAGTGACCCCTAGTTTCCCGGTGCCCCCTAGTCTCCCAGTGTCCCCATGTGTCCCAGTGTCCCTGGTGTCTCAGTGTCCCCATGTCTCCCAGCTTCCCCAAGTGTCTCAGTGTCCCCATGTCTCCCAGTGTCATCAAGTGTCTCAGTGTCCCCATGTCTTCAAGTGTCCCCAGTGTCCCTAGTGTCTGTGTCCCCATGTCTCCCAGTAACCATGTCTCCCAGTGCCCCAAGTGTCTCAATGTCCCCAAGTCTTCCAATGTCCCCTGTCTCACTTTCACCATGCCTAACGGTGTCCCCATGTCACTCAGTGTTCCTAGTGTCATAGTGACATGGGGTCCCTTGGAGACATGGGGACACATACACTAGGGGACACTGGGAGACATGGGGACATAGACACTAGGGAACACTGAGAGACATGGGAATACTGGGGGATACAGGGAGACATGGGGACACTGGGTAACATGGAGACACAAGAAGACACTGGGAGACATGAGGCATTGAGACACTGTGATACATAGGGTCACTGGGAGAACTGGGGACACTGCACTAGGGGACATTGGGACATTGAGACACTGGGAGACTAGAGACACTGAGACACTGTGATACATAGTGACACTGTGAGACCTGGGGTAATCGATACATGGGGACACTGAGTCATAAGGGCACTGGGAGACATGGGGGCACTGGGAGACTAGGGGACACTGAGAGACATGGGGACACTGATACATATGGACACTAAGACAGTGGGAGACTTGAGACACTGGGGGACAGGGAGACACTAGGAGAAATCCATCTAAACAGCAGAATCAAACTGTAAGTAGTTTTTTGGTGATTTTACAGCATTTTCTCTTATGTCACTTCTTGTGATTTACATCATGTGATGTCACCCATATTTTTCTGAGAAAATACAGTGTTTACATTGAAAGCAAGGAACACCTCCAGTTGCAGTCACTCAAAGTGAACCAGAGGGACTTCGGAGTTGATGGAGGCATAATATGCCTCCATCCACTCAGATCTGCTGTCAGCAGAGCACAGGGCAGCACTGTGCACAGCATCCTGTGATTCAGTATTCATTGATTCAATTCATCTCTATGAGAAGATGCTGATTGGTCAAGGCTGTGTTTAAATCATGCTGGCTCTGCCCCTGATCTGCCTCTTTGTTAGTCTCAGCCAATCCTATTGGGAAGCATTGTGATTGGATCAGGCTACCACATGTCAGCAGACTGCTTGTTTTTCAGAGTCTAACAGCATGCAAATTTACAGCTTCTGGCTTGAATACAGTAAGATTTTTACTATATTTATGGAGGCATGAGGTGCCCAGGGGGGCTAGTTGGTGGTGTTAACACTATAGGGTCAGGAATACATGTTTGTGTTCCTGACACTATAGTGATCCTTTAAGATAAGCTCTATATATGTATCAAAGTAGAAAACATTAAATAAGGGGCCTTAAATAAGGGCCCAAACAAGCATTATACAGGCTCACATCTCTGCGACTCCAAAAAGTACAAGAATGGGGTCACCTAGATGTCGTGGCCATTTTAATAGTGGCTGTAACGTTTTGCAAATTCAAATGATATAAAGACGTGCAAGTTGAGTGGGAAGTGCAATTCAAGCAGGAAGTTTGAAGGTGCGGCTGAGCGGTGAATTCGGCCCACGTGAACAGAGAGGAAGCGCGGTTTGTCAAAGTCGAATTGGTAAGTACACGTTTTTTTTTTTTTTAGATGGTTTAAGTCACACAGACAAGGGGTGCTTTTGGCCCATGCAACCTTAGGAGGGGATCGGTTTGACGTTGGGGAACAGGTAAGTATTGTGACACATGCTAATTCACTGGAAAAGATAATTTGTCAAAGTTATGAGGGTTATGAGCTGGCCCTGCAATTACAGCCACTAATGTAGGAGGGACGTGGGAGAAAAAAAAAACAGAAACAAAGGAAAGTAACAATAGCTCCTAAAGAAAAAATATATAATTTACCTTTATGAGAAAGGATATATTCAATGCTCTTTTTGGTGAAGCTGTTTTGAAAAGTTCACATTAAATCTCTAGCTTTTCACACCAGAACTCCTTTGGGTTGATCACCCATCCACTATAGCATTTCTAATGAGTGATTGATTCTCAAAGTCAGCTAATCACTCATGCTGGGTTACTCACTAAAATATGAATAGTTCCGTAACGAATGGGGCAAAACCATCCAGCTGCATAAGGGGCCATTTAAACAGCAAAATCTGGACATTGTTCACACTATTTAACAAAAGTGCTGGTGGTGTCCCTAATTATAATATTAAAAGGGAGAAGAACTAGTATCCTCAGCCCCAAGCCATGGGTAGTTACCCTAATAATAATATAAATTTTTATCTTCACTTCCTGCTGTTAGAGCGCTCTTATTGTTTGGATTACTAACTCATCTGAGTGCTCTTACTCATTTACAAATTTCCCATCATGAGCCTACACAGGTAAAGATAGATTAATTTTAATGGGTTGCCTTTTTTATTTTATTGTTTGTCCTTTTATGCAAATATATGTTGTTAAGATTTTATTAGTTGCTTCAGTTATTATGGATTTTAATTTCACCTTTTTAGTAATTAATCTACTTAGGGACTGGGCAGCAATGGCTGCCTAGTCACTAGTTTTAAATATTTAGCAGATATGCCCCACATGGGGAGGATTTAAAACTCCCTTAGTAATAGTAATATGGTGTCTTATTACACCTCCCACCTCCTCATTATTTATAATGTCTTTAAAAAAAACTGTGATGTGTGAATATTACAAATCCTATGCAAAGGATGCAAAAGCACCAATTTTAATCTGGACACCAATTGCATCTGGGCAATTGCTGCAGATTCACTTGGGCCAATCAAATTCTGATCATATTTAGCTCTAGCAAATATAAGAATCTCACTGAATTTTGTATACAGTCATTTTCACTTGAATTTGTCTTTCTGGACAAAATTCAGTCTTTAGTGAATAACCTTGACAGGGTTAAAGTGAGAATAATTGTCAATTCAAAGTGAATTTCAAATTTATGCCAGAGTAGTCAAGCTGGAAGCAAAGCTTACAGAACTAGGAGAATAATTCCATTGAAGTTATTTTCACCAACATGAAAAATAATGCTGTAATTCATCAGTTCTTACAGCACAGTGTGTAGTGTGTTTACTTCAGAAGTTCTAATCTCCTGCTGTCATGCACATGATGCCTCTGCAGGCTCTAGCAAGCTATTAACAGAGCAGGAGATAAGACATTCGAAAATAAACACACTGCAATAAATACAGTTTAAAAATTAGATCTCGCTTTACAGAAAGTCTGTAGAGAGACTGTGTGAGTCATAGATAGGGGAGGTGTGGCTACATATGCATAAACAAAGTAATTTAACTCCTAAATGGCAGTGAATTGACTAGTGGGAATGCTTCATTAAGCTAAAGCGGTTTCTTTGCTTAGATTGCCCGTTTAAATTATTGGAGTTACACTTTGAGATTGAAGCTGCTACCACTGTTGCTGCCTATAATTCAGTTACTCTTCCAATAGTGCTTTACTGGCAAAATAGCAGTGGAATCAGAAGTAGACAGTGTCCTCACTTGCCAACCCGTTAAAAAGAGATACTGAACTAATGTGCCAAAACACAGCTGTTATCAATAGGGACTGCAACTCCCTGTTATACGAGGCAGATTGGGACATGTATGTTCTAAAGGTACCCTGAGATTAGCTTGATTCTTCATTCTGACAGCAGCAGCTTTTTTTGGCTTACTGGTGAGATTAGGGGTCCCCATACTGCGTGGTGTCAGTTGTGTATCACCTATACCTTTACACATTACCTATCACTTTGGTCAGCCTCGTCTGTCTTGGGAACTGTTTTGAGACATCATTGTTCCACGATTCTAACTTTATGAATCGTAGCACAAGCTTTGATTTTAAACATATGTGTTTTAAAGCAGTGCTACAAATATGAGATGAAGTCTGAAACATGAAACAGCTGTATTAATCTGCATATTTAGCAAAGCATTCTGGGAGAGGTGTAAAATAAAATATAATAATAAAGACTTTTTTCAAGGTGGGGAGTGTTAGCATGTATTTGTCATTGGGTGATTTTATCATGTTTTGCTCTCACCACATCATTTTTAATACAACATACAATCTCTAATGTGTAGTCAACATTGCATATTTATGCACGTAGGTTTTCTTGAAAAAAATAAAATCACATTTTTTTATCATTAAAGAAAATGCATTGATAGATTAAATTAACCACCGCTCAGTGGTTTTGCAGTTTTAATACCTTGAAGGAAGATACTAATTTCTTAAGTGTTTGAGCAGATAAGCATGCTCAGAGTCTTTGTATAGTGATAGAAATGCATGCAATAAACTAATGTTATCAGTGGTGCATCAGGAAATACACTGACATGTGTTAAATAGTAATGGCACTTGAATGCCCTCAAGATGTTTTCACTACAGAAGTCTTCAAATGCTGCATTAGAGTTTGTTCAGTAAAATAGCTTTTCTTTTCCCATCTAGATAATTTGTA